CCTTGCTTGCAATAAGCAAGAGTCAGGAAAAACTGTATGAAGAGCAAGCTAAGTCATGCAAGGTCTAGTTAAATGGCCAATATTCAAGTTGTTGGTATAAATTTCCCTTACCACATAGGTTTCCAGGAGTACTTAAGACCCATGGCTCATGGCTGGGAATCTGGACAGAATATGTCCTTTATAAAAATCTGTTAGTACAAATGTTTATTCTGTGTGAGGAGGGAGGAATAGAGTTTGCTGAAGAGTCCATTTGAGGACTATACTGACACAAACACACAAAAACACTCTCTCATGCCTCTGGGTTTTTGCTTGTGTCCTACTCAGCATGGTAAGAGGAGAAAAGACACTGGGTTTTTTCTAAATTTATTTCTAATTTATGTAATATTTGTACATATTTATACAATTTGCAGTATTTAGACATAGTACATATGGTGGATAATGCAAATACATGTATAGGTGTAGATTGTTCGAATCAGGGTTATTGAAATTTCCATTTCTGTAAACATTCATCATTTCTTTGTGTTTGGAGCCTTGAAACTCTTCTCTTCTAGTTCTTGATAAAATACATAACTTGCCCTAAATATAGTCACCCTACTGTGCTGTAGAACACCAGGCCTTAGTCCTTCTAACTATATTTTGAAACCTACTATCCAACCTCCCTCTATAACCCACCCCCTTTCCTGCCTAACCCTTAGTAATCAATCACTATTCTGCTCTCTTCTGTGAGATCAGCTTTTCACCTTCACATAGAAATGAGAACACATAGTACTTGTCTTTCCGCATCTAGCTTATTTCACTTAACAGAATGTCCTCCATTTCCATCTACTTTACCACAAATAAAAATATTTTATTCTTCATTGCTAAATTATATATGCTATACTTTTATCTGTTCATCCACCTGTGGACAGTTGATTCAGCTACTGGGAATAACTGAGAATAATTCTTCAATAAACATGGGAGAGGAAGTCTCTCTTTGATATGCCAATTTCATTTCCTTTGGTTATATATAAGATGTGACCAAACATATGATGATTTTTTTTAATTTAAATGTATTATAGTGTCATTAATTCCCCTCAGAATCCTCCACCTTGCTTTGAACACACTTATCTCATCTTTCTTGCCACTTTCTGAAGCAGTTCTGGAAGTTCTCTTTCATGAGTCTGTTTAGCTATACTGTGGTAGATGCCTTCATGCTCTGAATTGATTCAACAGGTTTATTGTTATGGTCACTTTGACTTTGGGGGAGAGGCAGAGGGTGCACAGTGTCAGATCTGGGGAATGAAGCAGATGAAGACACACCGTAATGCTTTAATGATCCTGTCTTTCCATTGGATGGTACTTGGCAGCAATAAAGATACTCATGAAAGAGGACTTCCAGAACTGCTTCACAAGTGGCAAAAATGATAGCATAAGTGTGTTCAAAGCGAGAGAGTTTTTCAGGAGTATTCATGGCAAAGTTTTATTTTTTAGGGTTTTTTTGAGGAACTTACCTGCTGTTTTTCACAACAGTACTATAGGTTAGGCCTGTGGCTCAGCAATGGAATGCTTGCTTGTCATGCATGAGGCCCCAGGTTCAATCTCCAGCATTGGAAAAGGAAAGAGAAAAAAAAGTGGACATAATAGCTGCACTAATTTATCCTCCCACCAGCAGCATGTAAAATTCTCTCTTCTCAGCATCTTCATCAGTGTTTCCTATTTTTTTTTTACTTTCTGATAATAGCCATTCTGACTCAGGTGAGATTGTATCTCGTTGTGGTTTTGATTTGCATTTCGCTGATGATTGCATGTGGAAAACGCTTCCAGATATCAGTATAGGCAGTAAATTTTTATAAGATCTCAAAGGTCTATACAACAAATGCATAACTACAGAAATGAGATCATATCAAACTAAGAAACCTTTACAGAGCAAATAAAACAGTCAATGCAGTGAAAACACAACATACAGAATTCATCCAACAGGGTACATATTAATATCTAGAATATACAATGAACTAAAAAACTCAATAAAAATATTTTTATGTGGACAAATTATCTAAATAGACATGTCTCAAAGGAAGACATATGAGTCACTTAAAACTATGTGAATAAAATATTCAACATGAGAAAGTTGTCAGGGAAATGCAAATCAAGACATTTGAGACTTGTTGGGTATTTATCATGGATGATTTCAAGATGATCTCTTTTTATGGCCTGTCAGTTAAAGCCTACCAGAAACACACACATATGTTTCCTACCAGGAAACCTAAAGTTAGGTTTATTCAGTTATTAAGCAAGGGAGAGTACATACCAGAGTAATCATGGAACACCAAAAGGAAAAAGTTAGGAAAGAATGCTTACTGAAGCTAGGGAGTGTAAGTTAAATGTCCTTGGCAGGAATTGATCAGAATCTCTAAACAAGGGAGTTGCTGAGACTGTCAATGACTTTATCTTGAAAGCACAAGAATCCTGGGCAGCACATGCATGCACATCACAGCATTATCCATAGTAGCCAAAAGTGGAAGCTATGCAAGCATCAATCTGCCGACGACCAGATAAATAAAATGTACACATACAATGGAATGTTCCATAGCTCAAAAAGGAAATCCTGACGTGTTACAGCATGCATGAGCCTTGAAGACATTATAAGTGAAAAAGCCACAAGAGGAAAATATTGCATAATTCCACTTATGGGGTACCTAGAGTAGTTATACACTATGATTGAACAAAATGATGGGTGTCAGTAGTTGGAGAGGGCCAGAATAGGAAGTTATTAAGGGAAACTAGGTTTTGTTTTTTATATGTTTTTATTTTTGTGTGTTTGCTTCTGTGGTGCTGAGAATAAACCCAGGGCCTTCACAGTAAGCTACATTCCCAGGCCTTCTTTAAGTTTTTATTTTGAGACAGGTTTTTGCTAAGTGGCCAAGTTATCCAGGCTGAGCTCAAATTTGGGATCTTCCTGTTTCAGCCCCTCAGAGTGCTGGGTTTCCAGGGGAATCATTTTTGAATGCTACACAGCTCCAGCTTTGCAAGACAAGAGCAACTCTGGAGCACATGCTTTTAATACACAGCAATGTGAAGGTGCTTAGTGCCACTGAACACTACACTTAATGCTTTAAGTGGTAAGTTTGATGTTATGTACATTTGACCACAATTTTTTTAAGTCATGTAGAGTTCCTATTGGATCAGCTTATAGGTAAGATGTATTCTTTTCCATGCAGATCTCATGAGCTGATTAAAAGAGAGTGAGCTTAGACAGTTCTTTCTCAATGCTTTGGCTTGACTTGGTTTCTCTGTTCTGTGAGTCACAGAAGAGATTTGTGAAATGTGACTTCTGTTTCAACTCTCAATATCCCCATATCATACTAGCTGTCATTTGAACTCTTGTACTTTCTCAGTCTCATTTATTTGCATGCTTGTTTCTGTATTCCTCTCAACAACCTACAAGTAGTAGATTTGGGATTCCAACCCAAAGCAGCATGAGCGCTCAGTGTAGGTTCTTCTATCATACATGTCCGCTGAAGGTTAAAGCAGCGTTTTCCTGCCACACACACCCTGTCAAGATGCACCATGCTACCATAAACCCAAAACAATAGTGCCAAATGACCATGAACTGGAACCTTGGAAACCATGAGCCAAACTAAACCTTTCCTCCTTTTAAACTGATAGAAGTGTTCTGTCACAGTGATGGAAAGCTCAGTAATACACAAGGCAGAGAAAGGAAGGAAAATAATTTCTAACATATGCACCGTAACTTAAAGCAGGAATCAGCAAGATTTTTCTACAAAGGGCCAGATAGTAAAAATTTTAGCTCTTGTGAGTTGTACACAACCAAAGATTATATATAAACAAATGAGCATGGCCATCCTCCAAAAAGCCTTATAGATTAACACCAAAATTTGAGTTTAATGTAATTTTCATGAGTCACAAAATATTATTCTTTTCAAAAACTCTTTCAACTATCTAAAATACAAAAATTGTTCTATCTATGGAAATACAGCATGAGGCCAGATTTAAATTGCAGCTATAATTTGCCAACAATCCCTGCTTTAAAAGCTGGTCTCGCAAAAAGTGGCCTGTAGTCCAGCAGCATCGGGGGAGGGGTGGAGAGCTGGTTAGAAATTCAGAACCTCAGGTGTGACCTCAGACATCTGAAGGATTTCAGGGTTTCTAACATTACCACGGGTTCAGTTCACATATCAGCCAGAGAAGAACTGGTTTAAGGTTCACATGGACCCAGAAGACACACCATGACCAATCTCTGTGTTGTATCTTCTGGGAGGAGTGACTCTGGAAAAGCTTGAATCTTTCTGTGCCTCAGTTTCGCAAGCCCAGGATGGAAATGAGGGTATTGTCTTCATCAAGCCTGGTTGTGAGAATTCACACACATGGCTTTTAAAAATTTGTCATTATTGGGCTGGGGATTTAGCTCAGCAGCACAGCGCCTGCCTGACAAGCACAAGGTCGTGCGTTCTATCTCAGGTACTGGAAAAACAACAACAACAACAACAACAAAAAATTTGTCATTATTATCACAAATTTTTATGCTATTTTCACAGCTCCCTTCTAAAACAGTCAATGCTCACCCCATTTCACAAAAAAAAAAAAAAAACCTATGGCCCAGAGATGGAGAAATTCATCTGGGCTTCCAAGTCAGTCCTAAGGATAAGGAAAGTTTCCAAGGAACTGAAGGAGAAAAATCCCCTGACCCCCAGATCTTCACACGCACGTCTCCCTTTAGGGGCCTACACTGCCCATAGCTCCTATTTAAGCCCCTGAACTACTAAGTGTTCCTTAAAAATATTTGTCACTCAGGGATCTCCCTGGATCTGTATCTCAAGTTACCTCTTCATTCCCAAAATTTATCTTCCATTAAGTTGCATCGTGTGCTTTACAACTTCTCTTTCTAGTTATAGATTGTAAATTTTCCCTGTGCTGAGTGTTGTAGCTGACTGACTGTTTTTCATTATATTTGTAGGGCTCAGGGAAAAAAAAGAGGCAATTCCTTTATTTGAGAATCCTGACATTTATTAGCATAATAAAACTCTCAAGGTGAAATTGCAGTTTTCCAGACAGTAATTTCATTTGCAGGACAACTTACAAGGAATTTATTTTAAAGCCAGGCAAAAACCTCAAATATATGAGACATGCAGAAAGTGCAGGCCCCAAATAAAATGAAATGTATGCGTTAGAGATGGAAAACTCAGCTGTTGTCTCTCACATATTAATTAGGAGGTGACAGCAACAACAGGCTGGGGATTCAGGTTCTCGCCCACCTTGGACTGCTTTCAAAGCTGCTGCTGGAAACTTCTTGCAAGTTGTCGATAATCATCATGTTGCGTCCCCGATACAGCAGCACTCAGCACCAAGTTGTCGCTGTTTGCAGTTATAGCGAGCAGCAACTTTCCCTTTGACAGTTTCCATATTTGTCATTCAACAGATCTGCCCAAAATAACTAGTGACTGCCATAGACAAAATTTTCTTCCATTTTATGCAGAGGTTTTATAAGGGTAAATGACTCCAACAATTTCAATTTGATGCATAGCACAGCCAAAATAAAATTTTTTAAAAACTTGGTTCTGTCAAGTCCTCATAGATATATGGTGATTTTGATAATATGCGGCTTTTGGTTTTGAAGTATTTAAGTGCTCAAAAGCCAGGGTTCTTCCATTGCATCATTTCATCCATGTGAGAGAAAGAGAAGGAAGTTCTAGATCTGAATTTCAGAGTTGATGTTATTAAACACGTGTATGATGGGGCTTGCCTTGGCTCCCCAAAGGGCAGAGCTTGTGCCCAATGCTTCTGAGCTATTCCTTGGTTTATGAGAGCAATCGCAGAGGAGCAGATTGAGATGGTGTGAGGCTGAGAGATAGGAAACACAAACAGGGTTGTCACTGATCTGGCCACTGCTTGGTGTCATCGTGACTGGTTGCTCCATCTTGCAGATCTGTCCTGTAAGAGGCTGTATGAAGAGGTGCTTCTCCAAACAGGCCCTCCAGGAGGAAGGAGAGTAAAGAACTGATTTGCCAGCCTTGGTGTCTGGTCTCCTTTGGTCTAGAGCTCACTGCATGGGCACTGAACTCCAGCTCTTCTGTATCATGGCAGCCAGAGGTGAGGAGCCTCTAGCACTGCATGTGGCAATGCACTGCTGATTTATGCTTGCTTGAGGCTGATCAACAGGAGAAAGAGCAGAGCCCATGCAAAACTGTTTATAGTGACAGTGCCTTAGGAAAAAGCGGACAAAGAGATGAGAAACAGGTGAGGCAAGAAGGGAAGCAGGGAATAAGAGAGGTTTGTGGAAGCTACCTAGAAAGGTTAATCAGACCCTGATGTCCCAAGAGTCCATTTGTGTTTGTGTGGTCACCAAGTACTACGCTGCAAAGTAGTGAGCACCAGGCTGAACCCAGGTCTTCTTGACCCAAGGATCTATAATTTTACTACACAATCTGCTGCCTCCTTGTCTATGGCCATATGTATGGAACACAGTTATGCACAAATAGACACCATCCCTGAGGTCCTCACTGGGAGAGTCTTTGTGTTAACATGAAGAACATACTCAGATTAAATGGACAGTAGAATCAAAAGCAAAAGAGCAATGATAATAGAGCTAATCACTTGAGTAACTTCATGTAGACAGCATCCTAGAAAGGAAAGGTCTTGTTAGATGTTTAAACACCATTCTTGGGTTAATAATTCACCCTTGGGCTTGGATACATCTGCAGTTATATATAAGATCGCTACTTTAATATTCCAAAACCAGGGCCAAGATATGACTCAAAGACAGAGGAGGGTGGAAGAAGAGAAATGAAAAAAGGAAGGCAAGGCAGAAGCAAGCACCTGTCCTGGAAGCTGGGGTTTAGAAACCCCAGGTAGTTACAGTGAAAATATCAAGACTGATGAATGTCATAGAGAATGTCACATCTGTGTTTGCCATATAAATACTATACATTTTTTCGTTTTACTTCCATGACTTTATATAAAGAGTGACAAGTAGGAAATAATCATCACTGGGTCATGTTGGGAAACTTTCAGAAGAGCTGCATTTCTTCAACAAATGTTTATTGAAAGTCTACCATATGTTAGAGTACCATATGTTCAGAGTTCGGCACTAGAATTATTCTGAATTATCAAAACATGGTCCATGCACTCTAGAAGTGTGGTTTAAGGCAGTCATGACAGGTAAGCTTCATCTTTTGAGGTCATAGCTAAATTATTCACAAAACAAGTTGCATCAGCCACTAGCAATGTTTGTCCTGAGCACAGGGGTGGGGCCAGTAGCACAAACGCCATGTATTTAATATCGCTTGGGACATACTAATCTACTTGTGCCTCTGGATTGTAGCACACTCACGGAAAGCCATAGGAATTTGAGTTGGGAAGTTCTTAAACTGGCTTTTGAAGAAAGAAGGGAGTCCCGAGGGAACCCAACTGATAAGGAAAAAAAACTATCATTCAAACAACACATGGTAGTCTGGCGGGCTGTCCCTCTGTCCACAGGGTTCCTGCAGCAACTCTCCCCCAGAAACGGTGATAATTTCCTCCTGAAAAGGAAAAAAAGAGAAAAAAATGTCCTTATAATCAAGAAAGGTTTGTAAACATTCACCAGAAATAAACTGGTTTAAAACAGAAACAATAAGATGATACATCTGCTTCCCCCTCTCTCAAGTTTACAGAAATAGCAGCATAAAAGTCTGCTTTTACGAAGACATAAATTTTAAAGTATTGGAAAATGAAAGGACTGGCCATCAACAAAGTAGCAATAAAAAATTAAAAGAAGTACAGTCACAATGGTGAACAATCATTGAAAAGCAAAAGCCCACAGGATGAGATTTTCCGCAGAGTCAGTATGGGACGCAACCCAGCGCAAGGAGGGACAGGCTGGGGGCAGAACAGCCAACAGGCATTTGCCTTGGGTAGGTCAGAAAATGCAGAGAAGTAAACAGTTCCAGGGGAGGCCAAGGAGACCCAAAAGATGAGCTTCCCACTGTCAACTATGACATGCTGAGAATTGATTTGGGAAGAAGAACCTGTCCCCTCAAGGATAAACAGGAAATTTAAAATTGAAAGACCACCTCAGAGCCCAAAATTTATAAATATTTTAGAACAACCAGAACTATAAAAGCAAGATGCCAAATTCACTAATACAACTGATTCCCAAGAAGATACCAAATTTATAAAACAAACAGAAGGTGCCTTTAAGAGATGTGTATTAACTTTCTCAGTGGAATAAGATAAGTCATCTGTGAAGCAAGAATGGGCTATTATTTTCCAAAAATGGATCTGCAAAGGAAAACCATGACCAGTTAAATTAAAAAGAAAAATTTCAGTAGGAGAACTGAAAAGCAGAATGGACATAACTAAAGAGCAATTTAGCAGCTGAAGGAATGGTTACATCAATAAGAAAGGACATCTAAGTAGAAAAATGGACAAAGGATATGAACAGATGAATCACAAGGAAATCCAAGGGACCATTAAATGCATGAAAAAATCCTCAGCATTGTGGTAAGCTCAGAAATGTAAACTAAACAATAGCGAGACCCAGTGTCTGCCTATCTGATGAGGGAGAATTAAATGATTGAGAATTCCCAGTGTTGGCACTGTGTAGGGCATCGGCCTTATGTAGTTTTGGCAGGAACATGAATTGGCACCATGTTTTGCAGGGCAATCTGGCAGGTCTTTTCTAATTAAAATGTGCATACTTTTCTCTCCAGCAATTCCAGTACCAGGGATTCTCAGCATGTATCCACGGTGACATGTACATAGTGCAGAAGTGTCTGCAGCTGTGTTCATGATCATGAGAAGCTGGGAGGTGGGTAAGTGGGTGGAAGAAGACAGCAGGTGATCAAACTGCTACAGACATCCATACAGTGGAATTCCACAGGGCCTTTACCAGGATGGTGCATGCACTGGCACCAATGATCTCATCAACGCATTTTAATAACAGTCAACAGGGACTGGGTGCTGGGTATACTGTATTTCTCAACACTTTACACAGCAATGCCTTGTTGAAACCTCACCAGGATGCTAACAGGTAAATGCTGTTACCAAGCCCACCTAATAAAGAGGGAACTAAGGCACGCAAGTTTGAATAGTTAAGTCAAGTCACACACAGCAGTGAAGTTGGGATTTAAACTCAGTACTCTGATTCCAGGGATGATGCTTTTAAATATGCTGCTGTATCATGTATTCAGGGAGTTCTCTTAAAAATCAAAGTGCTGAGCTATATGGGAAGAGCTAACCAATTTCTGTGAACAATACCAAAACTTTGTATTTTCTAAGAACATAAGTTTTGATGCTACTGCCCAGGCAATCCTTGGATAAGCACCTACAAAGCTATGATTCATCCTGTGGAGGACAGAAACAAGGGGTTTGAAATGAATGACGCTCTCATTTTCTACTGCATTTGACTTCTCTTAAAATGTAGTCATGAATGGTGTAATTAAATTTGTAAAATCTGGTCACCAGATCTCCACATGGCATAGATAATATCTCTCTGTATTGTCAATCTCAAAAGTTTAAAGTTGGCAGAAAAGAAAGACCTCCAAAGATATCTGGCCCAGCCCTGCTGTTCAGAAACTCGCCCTCAGAGATGGGCATTTACCCTTTGCTTGAAACAAAAGGACAAGCACTCCTTGCTGGTAGAGCAGCTCATATGGACAGGGCAAACAAACACTGGGATTTAGTGGGCAATGCACAGGTTTTCGAGGCATGAAGCCTAATGCTTAACTCCTGGACCCAACTGACGCAGCTGGGAGAGTTTGATCGAGTTTCTCAGCCTCCCTGACCTTGTGAACCAGGGCCATGTGCATCCCCAGCAGGACCTGTGAGGATGTAGGAGAGGGCATAGGTGAGAAAAGAGGCTGAAGGCCTGACTCAGACAAGGGGGCTGGCGTCCACATACTCCCTCCTTCCCTCCCTCCTCCGGCTCCCCACACAAGTAGAGATCCGCCCAGTGTGCCTGATTAGCTCCCAGTTAGTCCTGTTTTCTGAGCAGCACTCTAAACTCAATGCACAGGTATTTGTAATGGGTGGCTTGCTATGTGCTTTGATCCTAAGACCAGGTCACAGGCTACATATCTCTCCTGCCCTGAGGGCAAAAAGGAAGGCATGAAGAGAAAGCAATACAAATCCATGGGGCCCTATTTTATTAATGCCAGTGAGACAGTCTGGTGATTCTATGGCCCTCCCTGTGCCTGCAGAATTCAGGCCCATGATGGAGCCCTGAGTGCAATGATGCACAGGACCTCATTAAAGCTCACAAGGACCCTCACGTGTGGGGCTTTTGAAGGGCAATGGAATCATGCGGTGCCACAACTCATCATGATATTAGGAGGTAAGACCTGGGAACTCAGAAGAGGGAACTCACTGGGGCTGTGACCTGGGAAAGTGTGTCTCTCTCTCACTCTGCTTCTTGGCCACCAGCTTTTCCACTGCCAGACCCCTCAGCCACACCTTCTTGCCTTGGAGCCAGCCAACCATGAAATGAAACATGAGCCAAAATGAAATCTTCCTCCTTTAAATTCTGGATGTTGGGTATTTTGTCCCAACAACGAGCAAAATGACTGAGACACCAGCCAAGTATGATGCACACCATGTGCTTCTGCTATGGATTCAATGTAGCCTCCACCAGCATGTGTTGAAAATGTAACAGCCGTGGTAATGGCATGAAGAAGTGAGGCTTGTCTGAGGCAATTAGGCCAGGAGGGTTCTGCCACCATCCCTGGAGTGAAGTTTGGGCCCCTCTTGCTCTTTCTGGACCTGTTGTCCTTCTACCTTCCTCCATGGCCTAATGCAACTAGAGGGCCCCCACCAGTTGTGGTCCCTGCACTTGGGATTTTCCAGCTTCCAAAACTGCAAGACAAGCTTTTGTTCTTTAAACAACCCAGCCACACAAATGCACTAAGACTCCTGGCTAGGCCATGGGAGCTCAGAGAGACCATGCATCCTGCCCAAGGTCACACATGAAATGAGTTGGTAAAGCTGGGGTTCAGAGCAAAGAATGGGTTAGGTCCATCCTTGCAGAAGCGGCTCTGGCCACACGGTTGCCCACTGTGCTACAGTGAGCTCTGGAAGCTGGGAGAGTCCCAGCTAGACAAGGCTCTAGGGGCACTCCTGAGCCAGCAGGGGCTTGGAGGGGGCACTGGCACCTGGGAGCACATGGCCTCTGAGAGAAAAGACCTGGAGTAGGGCGGCAGGGGACAGTGAGTCAGAGGACAAGGCAGGGAGGAGCCGTGGGCCCAGGAGCCCGGCCTGGACAACCTTTGGTTTCCATTCCCCTGCTGCTCTAGTCCCTGAGACTCTGCGGCCCAGGATGTAGGTTTGCTGGGCTTCCTTGGTCTCTCTAGGCCCTCAGGTTTCATCTTTTCCACCCCCAACCAGCACGCTGAAGAGGGACACCTTGTGGAAATCAATGAGATCCGTGAGAGTTGCGTGGCGATTGGGGTCCACTCCCAGGAAGCTGTAAAAGTCCCCAGACGCATCCACGAGGAAGTGCTTGAAGCCTTTCTGCAGGCGGTAGGAGAGGGTGTAGCCCCAGATCTTCTCACTGACACGGACCAGAAACGCACCCTCAGTCATGTTCTCCAGGAGATTCTCTGCATTTTCTCGGCTAATAATTCCTGATTTAAAAAAAACAGTCAGTGGATTCTGCACCTCCTCCTCTCCCTCCCCTGCTTGCCCATGCCCCCCATCCTGTGGTTCCGTCCATGAACAGACCCTGCTGTACAGGAGACTAGGAAAGGAGGAAGGGCCTGGGACTGGCCCGCGCTCTCTCCACCCACAGAAGGGCATCTTGGCCCAGAGCACCCAACTGTGGACTCGAGGGCAGTTTCCACCAGGCCTTGAGTTGAGCACATGTTCCTCCAAATTAAGCCACACTAATCTGGATTAATTGGTTAAGTGAGGAATTAGTAATGAGCCAGAATTATAGCATCTATGGATTGTAGATATGAGTCAGCAGGCACTGCTCTGTGGAGCGCCTTAGAGTCCTGCTTTAACGACTCCCCAGAATGACTGACGACCACAGCCCACTTACCTCTCTAGTACCATAAGTGACACCCTGAAAACAGTATCTTCCCTTGTGGCCTGAAATAACTTTCTCCAAATACAGTCTCTTAAATGGGCACAGGATGAAGCTGAAGCTTCCCTTTCACTCAAGGAACAGAACTCCCTAAGGTGTTTCCATCCTGTACAGCGTGGTCTCATCCCAGAATGGAGGGCACACCTGGTGCTGGAGTTGTGTACATGGTGGCTGTGACAGTTCAGATCTGAAACATCGCCAAAGATCCATGTGCTGAAGCTTGGTCTCCAGAGCAGGAGTTACTGGGAAGTGGTGGGACTTTGGGGGAGGGGTGCCAGCTGAAGGAAGGAGGTTACCGAGGACATGCCCTGGAAGTAGCCCTTTTCCATCCCTCACACACTCCCTGCCATGATGTCTGCTTCACCATGGACCCAAAAGCAATGGAGCCAAGTGACCATGCAGTGAAACCTCTCAAACCATCTTTCCCCCTTAAAGTCGTTTTCTCAGGTATTTTGTCACAGAGATAGAAAGCCAACCCCCAAAACGGGGAGGGACTGTAAACTGGGGTCAGACTCTGGAGGGCAGAAGCAGGAAAGAGGAGGGAGAGACGGAACAGACAAATTAACTCCCCAGCTCTGCCCTCATCTAGCCATCAGATATGTTGCCAAGCCCTCCACTTCTCCAATGTCCTTTGAGATTTAAGTCACCACAGCCACCAACTTCAAAGGCACACTAGGAATCTGAGTCACACAGAACTCAAGATGAGTTATTATGGGAAAATAGCTGTGAGGATCCTGGGTCCTGGGATCCTCTGCTGCTTTCATGGAACAGTGAATTACAACACATTGTCCCTCTGCACATGCTCTTGTTGGCCCCTTCTGTGCTTTCAACCAGCAGGAATACCATAGTCAGTGCCAAGCAGAGTGGGGAGTGTAGCTGAGCTGCTCATCTCTGTGACTCTGAGAGCTGCTCCCCACCTGTGACTGCCCCCCACTGAGTCCATGGGGCTGCTCCCACACTTGCTTGTACTCAGATCCCCTCCCATGGCTCACCTATCCAACATGGCACACACCCTTCCCTTCCTGTGGCCAGAGCAGAAGACACAGCAGCAACTGCCCTGTCAGGTGTTCCACTCTCTAAAGACTGTCCTACATTTGGGGACCACCGATTTCCTCCTTTCCCAGGACTCCCATCAAAGGCAGTCAGGCGAGCTACCCTATCACCAACCAGGCTGTACAAGGAGAAAGCAAGATAGAGGAGGGCATGGGGGCTGGAGGAAGAAGGGGTGATGTCACTCCAAACCCACCCAGCTCCTCATGCTGCTCCACGCTCGGTTAGGGCTGGAGAGATGGCAGTGCGCCAGAGTGGAGACTTCACAGTTACATTTCTTTTCTTCTAAACAAGTGTCTTTTCAATCTTTTGCTTACTTTTATTTTTTATGCTGCATTCTTTTTTATTTTAAAGAGAATAAAAAAAGAACAATAGCAAAATACCAACTGGTATAGATTATGGAAAACAGCATGACATTTTGATTTGTGTATCCATGGCAAGATTCAAACTACTCATCATAAGCATTATCTCATGTGCATGTAAAATTATTGTGGTAATAATACTTAAAATCTATTCTTTTGACAATTTTCAAATACAGTGGTACTTCCGTTCACAAACTCCATTTGTTCTATGATTTTGGAAAAGATAGCCACATTTGTATTTGTGTGAAGGATGGCCACAGTTGTGTTTGTCACCTGATGCAGTTTGCAAATAAAAGCAAAATTTTGCCAAACACTTCTGTTAGTGAACCAAATTGTTTGCAAACAAAAGTGTTTGTGAACCAACTGCAGTCATCACAGTGTGCAACAAGTCTCGTGAACCTATTCTTCCTGTCTGACTGAAATTTTGAATCCTCTGATCTATATCTCCTCCTTTTCCCTTCACTGGCGCTTGAGCACCACCATGCTTCCATCAGTGTTCCAGAGTCCATCATTTTTAGATTTCTCACTTAAGTGACATTTTGTGATATTTGTGCCTCTGTGGCTGGCTCTTCTCATTAACATAATGTCCTGCGAGTTCATCCATGTTGTCAGAAACGAGAAGAGTCCATTGCTTATATCAGGACTCACTTTCCTTCTCCATCCATCCATTCATGGTACTCAGGTTCATTCTCTTCCTTGGCCATGTGAATAGTGATGCGATGAACATAGACGCACAGACATCTCTTTGACAGACAGACTTCATCTCCTCTGGATCCACTCCCAGAATGGTTGGATCGAAAGACAGCTCTACTTTTCATCTTTTTTAGGACTCTCCCTGCACCTTTCCATGTCGCTGTACCAACACCTCCAACAATGTACAAGTCACCCATTTCTCCACATCCTTGTCAGTGTTTGTTATCTTTAAGACTGTACATTTTTCACATCCAAAGTTGACCAGAAATGTCACATGGCCCTGTCCTATCTCTCTTGCTTGAAGCCCAGCCAGGAACTGTCAGTGGAGATGGAGCTCCCTGGCCTCACACCCTCCCTCCCTCTCTGGGTTTACCACTCCCCTTCCTTGTCCTGCAGCCTCTGCCAGCCCCTGCCAGCCCCTGCCCTGCTTCCCTCGGCCCTGACCCCTCAGAGGAGGCTCAGTTTCTCTCCTCTCAAGAGCAGGCCTCTGGTCTCCTACATTCCCCACACCTTTGTGCAGGTTAGAAAAGGATGATCCGGGCTGGGGATATAGCTCAGCGGCAAAAGCGCCTGCCTGGCAAGCGCAAGGTCGTGAGTTCGGTTCCCGGTACCGGAGAAAAACCAAAAAAAAAAAAAAAAAAGAAAAGGATGATCCTCCGAGTTGTTGAGCCCATACAGCAAAGCACATGGCTTGACTGGAGGTGAGTTTGAGGGTACCTGCATGTCAGTCCCCAGCTCTCTCCAACTGGCCCCATTGGCAAGGTCCCTTTGTTCAGTCTACAGCCTGTTCAACCAACCAGGAAATCGTTCCAAACCCAGGAGGCTACACTGGACACTGCACTTTGGGTTTTCACAACATCCCGCCCAAACCAGGTTAGAGCCAGTAGCAGCCACAGAGCTTGTGCTGAGCCTCCCTTTGGGAGAGGCCTCTACAAGCAGCAGTGTCATGGTCTAGAGGATACACCTGAGATCAGCCAGTCACTAAGCACAGGGCCATAAGAGCTGCCATTGCTACCCAGCCTGGGACTCCTATGGGGAGCAGTCTTTGTGCTGGGCTCCCCATCAGCTTGACCGAAGAGGGATTTTCTTCCTCCCCTTCACAGGGGTCAGCCCTGCACTATGTCTGATCCTCACCTGCCTTCTCCTGCTACCTCTCCCACTCTCTCTTTCACCGCGTTGTCCTTTGCTGGCATTTTCTCTCATCAATCCCTTGTACTTCTGCTCTCCAAAGACCTGGACCAACACAGAAACCTCAGGTCTTGTCTTTAGGTCCTGAATGCCCAGGATGTTGGGGCATAGACCAAGAGCATGAACTCAATCCTAGCTTGGGGACTTGTTCCACAGAGACCCTGGCAGATAACTGGTATGGTGACTCATGTCTTCCCTGGTACTAGTACTCACACTGACATAAGAAGGTAGGGTAAGAATGAAACTCATGTGTAAATATGCACAGCACAGTGCCTAAAGTCATAATAAACTCCTAACACACTATAGCTAGCTGTCCTGGATACACTAGGTACCAACACATGCACTAGTGTTGAGGCTCCCGGTGCTGGTGCCAGCAGTGGTCATGGCACTGCCAGGTTTGGCTGCTCCCCACCCACCCCCTGCAATCCAGGCTGCCAAGAACACTTCCACCAAAGGGGCAGTTAACAGGCCATGCCCAGGAAACTCTAGCCATCTGTGGATTCTGCCCCCTTCCATGCTTGCCTTGAAATCAAAATTGTAATTTGGCACAAGATCAAAGGGAAAACAATGCCTTTCCCTTCCAGAGGCAAAAAGTGTTGTGCAGAAAACTGTTAGGCTTGCTATCTAGAGGTTCTCCAAGAGCCTCATGCACCCATAGGTGAGGCTTTTGAGAGGTACTTGGGTCACAGAGGCTGACAGCTGACACGCTTTCAGGTGGCATCTGGTTGGAAGAGGCAGATCAAGGAAGACACAGCCTGAGAGGGTTTAGCTCCCTCCCTGGTTCCTTCCTTTGCCCTTGCTCCCTGCCCACTGTGCCTCTCTACCATGCCATCCTGTCTTCAAGCCAGCCAAATATGAACTGAAATGTGAACCACAATAAATCTCTCCTTCCCTAGGCTGTGAGTGGTGAGTATTTTGTTCTGGTGATGAAAAGTGACTAAGACACCAGCCCAAGGACCTTGTGCAGGAAGCTTGAAGGGAAAAGCTGTTCTGTGTCCCTGCCCCATCTACAATCCCTCTCTATCTCCTTACCCCTGGACCTCAGTGAGTGGCTGGGAAATAAGCACTGGCCTCCCACCTTTCATCTGGGGAGCCACTGCCCCACCCAGGTCACCACAGCTTTATTCCTCCATGGCCTAGGGCACGGCACTCCAAGGTGGTCTGGGATGATCATCAGCATGTGCACCTGCAGGTCCTTTCTCAGCCCGTTCTCACCACTGGACAACAGAAAACAGCTTGTCCTGCT